TTTTTTTTTTTAAAGATTTTATTTATTTGACAGAGAGAGATACAGCGAGAGAGGGAACACAAGCAGGGGGAGTGGGAGAGGGAGAAGCAGGCTTCTCGCGGAGCGGGGAGCCCGATGCGGGGCTCGATCCCAGGACCCCGGGATCATGACCCGAGCCGAAGGCAGACGCTTAACGACTGAGCCACCCAGGCGCCCCTCCTTTAGGGTTTTTATGGAGGCATCATTACACAGTCATGGTTGACTAAGACATCGGCCACTGGCTGATTCAACCTGCAGCCCTTCTCCCCTCCCTGGAGGTTGGGGAGTAGAACTAAAAGTTTCAATCCTCTAGTCACATTGTTGGTCCACCTGGGAACCAGCCTCCGCCTTTGGGTGGAGTCACCTTCTTTGATATAACAAAAGACGTCTTTACTACTTTCAACACTTAGGAGGTCCCAAGGGTTTGGGAAGCATTGTGAGCCAGGAACTGTGGACAAAGACCAAATACATATTCCTTTTTTTTTTTTTTAAGCTTCTATTTATTTATTTGACACAGAGAGAGAGAAAGCAAGAGAGGGAACACAAGCAGGGGGTGTGGGAGAGGGAGAAGCAGGCTTTCTGCTGAGCAGAGAGCCCGATGTGGGGCTCGATCCCAGGACCCTGGGATCGTGACCTGAGCTGAAGGCAAATGCTCAACGACTGAGACACCCACGCCCCATCTTTTTTTTTTTTTAAGATTTATTTATTTTAGAAGGGGGGAAGCACACACGTACGAATGCGTGGAGGGAGGGGCAGAGGGGGAAAGAGAGAGAGAATCTGAAGCAGGCTTCACACTGAGTGGAGAGCCCGATGCAGGGCTCAGTCTCACAACCCCGAGATCGTGACCTGAGCCGAAATCAAGAGTCGGACGCTTAACCAACTGAGCCACCCACGTGCCCCCAAATATATATTGCTTATAAACCACAATGTTGCAGTTATATTATGATAATGATAAAAAAAAAAACCAAAAATTACAATCCAGTACCATAGGGACCAAGTAATTTAATGATTAGTTGAAAAATTCAGTTAAAGCAAAGATCCATTTAAAAAGATACTTACCATAAATATTTTATTTTAATTAAAACACAGAAAAGTACATTCATCTACCAATCTTTCCAGATAGGGCCTTTCCTTTGTTCTGAATCTACCGATTGGACTTCCCTGTGGTCTTTCTTGCATAAACAGCACCCAATTCTTGTTTCTTAGAAATGGAAAGAAAACAAAGACCCTTGTGAAACTATCAAAGCCAAGATATGTCTAGATTTCTTCCTTTTTTTTTTGAATCTTTTACCGTTGTCCTAATTCCACACTTTTTAAGCAACCGTTCTTTTCTGAGTCAACCCAAAATATTCAACTTAATTGTTACAGAATGAACAACGCTTTCTTCCCAATCCATATTTTATTGAATGACATAATAGTTCATTAAATTGTATAATCTCAATGACCATACAGTTGGCACTGTCAGGTTTGGGAACAGACACTTCTTATTCTTACTTTGTTTAAATATTAGTTTATTTAATCCTCACAACAGCCCAGTCGGTACATACTGTTATCATCTCTATTTAAACAATGAGAAGACTAAGGATCCAGAGAGTAGGCGCCAGCCAGCGAGCATCCAACACGTTGCAGGGATAGCCAGCAGGTGCGCTGGTGAGTTGGTTGAGCCGAGTTCCATTAAGAGAGCTTCTATTGTAGAAGTTTTGTATCCCTCAAGTGCCAGGTATTACGTCATCGTGAGGGTGGCTGGAACGTTAAGTCTTTCTACGGTCTTGAAAAACAAAATCAATTCACAGCTCTCAGAGATAATAACTTTGTGGTCCCAGTGGAAAATAAAGGGACGGACCATCAAGCCTGAGATCCTGAAAAGAAAAATATCAGGAGAAGAAGCACTCCTTTTCCGTTTTAGCCGCATTTGTGTAAAGCTAATTTCTAAGCATTCACTTCTGCTGCCGTCTGTTGATGTCAGAGTCTCATTCCTTCTCCCTTTCATCTTCCTCTCCAACCAGGCGCACCTGCTAGGGTTCGGGTTCCTTGGTAACAGTCAGTACATCCCCTCTCTTGGGATAACTCCAGGTTGCTTGGCTTCTCTGGTCTAACTGCTGGTATCTTGCCCTGTCCCTGTCGGCATCACCCTGGCCCATTGCTTTCGCGACTTGCTGGGCTCCTGGAGGCTTGCCTGACATTTTGTTTTCTTTCCGTCTGCTTCCCATCTGCCCTCTGCCTTCCCTGACTCTTTCCTCTTTGTCTGGCTTCTCACTTGATGCTTGTCTTGACCCCCTCCCTCCAACCTGCTGTCTTCGTAGGCTCTGATCCCACCTTGTTCACATATCCTATTTTAGTTTTTAAATAGGCAATAAATATGCCTGTTTAAAAAAATCAAAACTATATGAAAAGATGTACAGTTAGATGTCTTGCTCCTACCTCTGCCTCTATCCACTCCATCCCCTACCCTCCATGCCCTGGGGAAATACTATTATTAATTTCTTGCAGTATATACTTAGAGTTTTTAAAATGCAAATACAAAAAAAAAAATCCATTCTCCTCTTTCTTGGATAAAAAGTATATGCTCTTCGTTCCACTTTTGTTTTTCTTTTTTTCACTTAATATATTAGAGATCTCTCCAGGTCAGTACACAGAGCCCTCTGTTCCTTTTTTAAGCTATATATGAATAAAAGGCTCACATTTAGGGTCCATTGGATGGCTTTGGGCCAGTCCTCCCTGAAAGACGCCTGGGGTTGTCCAGTCTTTGGTGAGTATAAACAATGCAGAAAGGAATAATTTTGTGCATTTTATTCGTGGTGGCCCAATTTTCCCTCCATTTTCCTTCCTGTTCCTTCAAGTCTTTCAGTACAAGGCTCTGGTGTTCAGCCTCTTCCTCCTCACTCCGAATTATCCCTCGGTTCTTATCTAATAGGATATGTTCTTAGTTTTCCTTCGCAGCCACCTTCTATCCAGTCAATGTATCCATTCAACAGGGTGTTTTTTTTTTTTTTTTAGAGCAAAACATTTCCAATTAAGACTAGTGATTCCAAAGGTTTCCAATTCCAAACAATTATACCAATATCAAAAGCCGGCAGGTACCGAGGATTTACGAGGCCAGGCACTCTGCTGGGCGCAAGGCTTTACATTTCACGAATCCTCCTAAGAATCTAATTATTGAGGAACTAATTTGCTAATGAGAAAACTCGGTCTCAGAGAAGGTAAGGGACAGGTCCAAGGTCACACAGCTGGAAAATAGCAGAGTTGGGATCCTAGCCCAAGTGTGTCTGACCCCACCATGGTCTTATCTGTTAGAACTCAGTGTGAAGGACTGAAGAAATTTGGGGGTGTAAGAAAGGAGGGTCAATGAAAGAGCCTCTTTTTTAAAGATCTGGTTCAGACCAAGAGCTCTCTTAACTCTTTATTCTTCTGTAGCTTCAGAGAGGATTTCTATTATAATGACACTGCTGGATACTTCCTTATTGGAGGGAGCAGGTATGTGGCCGGCATTGAAGGGTTTTTCGGACCCCTGAAGTACCATCGTCTCCACGCTCTGCGTCCTGCACAGGTGAGCCCCGGGCATGGAGAAGCTACTGGGTGTTCATGCGTGTTGGGTGTGTGGCTCCAGCATGTGGAACCTCTTGTAAGCAAAAGATTTACCCACGCTGGACCTCGCATTGGCTCTGTCATCAAATGTAATTAATATGGAGGCTTTTCCCCCAGCAAACTCGAGAATAGATTTCTGTTAAGGTTTGGTTCATTTAGTACTCACAAAATGGAAACCATTTACTTCCTCTGTTTTAATAACTCCTAGCTTAATTATAGAGTAGATTTTTATCAGGTGGTTGCCTATCCAGTGATTAAGCTAATGAAAGGAGAGAATCTTAGTTATTTGATAGAGCTTCTTTTATGTGCTATTATTTAAAGTATCTGAAGAGGAGACACTCTAGCAAATGAAAATCTTGGTTCTGTTTGCTGCTCTCTTCAGACACGCAGGCCTTGGGCTCCCACTGGGGTGGGTTGGCTGGACTTGTAGACATTGTGGAGGACCGAACCTACTACACCGTGACCCTCGCCTCCAAAACCTACCTACAGATGGGCTTGTCCAGCTCTCCAGGCCAGCTGCCCCCGGGCTGCTGCAGGGAGACAGGGACTGTCCACCTTTACAGAGGTGTCTTTTTCTGCCTTGGTAAGGAGATCACCAGATACCTGAACAAGGAATCTTAGGGCATTCCCGTGACCCTGCGGGATTTGTTCTGGGGAAAACAGGAGTCATTAGGCAAAGTAAAGGAAGAACAATGCAGAGCCCTACTATCCATGGGTCCATCTCAGAGCCCCTACAGAGAGACCTCTATGAAGAAGAAAACAAAGAAATTAATGTATTCCTTTTGCAACAAATACTTCCAGAGCACCAGCTCTGTGCTAGGCTCTGTGCTGGTGCTGAGGTGTCCACGATGATGAAGATGGCCACTCTCAAACTGTTTTTTGAAGGTGATTCACATCAGAAATCTATGTGATGAAGAAAAGGAAGAAAAGAAGAAATCTATGTAACATCATGAGCACACGTATACATGCACACTCGTATACACATACACGTATATATTATATATATGTATAAAATACGAAACCAAAACAAAGGTTTTACTAAGAATAAGGCCCTTCCCATGTTAGGTGCACTCTGCTATTTTGTGTTCTATTTTATAGATATATTTATATATATATAAATCAGTGCTGGTTACAACCTGCTGAAATAATTTCTTGACCCTCTAATGGGTCACAACCTGCATTTTGAAAACCAACGAGTTGAGATAAGGCCTCTGTTTTCGCGAAGCTCCCCGTCTGGGGCTTAAACACCGAAGACATGAAGGAACGTGGTACATGTGTTAATTCACATGCGAGTGTTTTGGGGTCGCTGAGGTGGGAACATCTGCATCCACACACACGGGAGGGGCGGCTGTTAAGGAAGCTGCCTTGAAGCAATGACCTTGGACCTGACTCTTGGAGGTCGAGTAGGAGCCTGCCAAGCAGACGAAAGTGGGAGGAGGGTTCGCAGGGCTCAGCACAGCACAGGGACACTTGGCACTTGGCATCTCTCGGGGACTGAAGGAGAGATGAACATCATTGTCCAGGGACAGCACGCGGTGAGGGGAAAGAAGAGGGTGGAGGCCTGGTCTCTGGGAAATCCGGACATTTAAGAGGCTTTTGCAGAGAAGGTGCCACGGAAAGCAGTGAGTGGGAACCAGACAGAGCTGGTGTGCCCTTGAATTATACCCTCCCGTGGCTAATCCGGAGTGGATGGTCTGTGTGCAGACGAGCCAGCTGGTGATACCAATGGGAGAAGGAAACCAACCCGAACACAGCTTCAGAGGTATCAATGGGAGCTTGATGACAATTGTTGTTCATTCGATTTTCTTGCCTTCTTGTAGATTGGTAATCCCCTCCTTGAGAAGCAACTTGCTGAACAGCTCAAATTATATTATGAAAGGTGTGCTGAGGTCCAAGAAATAGTGTTTGTGTACATATCCACGGTACAGCAAGGGGGCGGGCAACAGGAAGCATGTAAGTACTGAGCTCCGGCAGGGCAATTTTTAGCTCTGTGTATTTGTGTCAACATGTTTGGCTTCTTTCTAACACGGTTAAAATAGAATATGTATGACTTGAGCAGCGGGAACAGATATGACCTGGAGCCCTCCACAGATGGAGGCGGATGGCCGTGTACGTGCCACCTGGATTCCAACCAGACCAACGGCCAACAGGAACCCCACACCTGCCTCTTAGCTTCAACCATACGCGATTCCCTTTAAGAATACAAATGAGAGCGTGCTGAGCCTTGCATTGCATTCTTCCCGTCCATAATGGGATCTTAGGCCAGTCTAAGAAAATAAAAGTGAATTGGAAAATAAATTAATCATTAGAAATGTTTCCCCATCGGTGCACTTTTGTCTTGGACCATTAGTATCTGCATATTAGCTTTCAGAAATGTAGAACAGTGACTTTGTTGTTTGGGGCTTGGTTTTATTTTTTTAATCCCTTGAAATTGATTCTTTCTGGAAGACCCCAGTAATAGCCAGCAGAAGGAATGAATTTCAAAATAGACTGCTTTCAGACCTGCTCATATTTGCCCGGGCATCCTTCACTCATACAGGGTGTTCATTGATTATAAAAATCGGTTCCTGGCCTGTCTTCCAATATTCTGGCTTGGATCTAGCGCTTGTAAATTTCTCTGTGCTTAGGTCTTCTTGCTGGATACGGCGGCACTAGAGTTAGTCACATATGTTCCTTCTGGAAGAGAAATTCCTGTGGGGCCTTTGCCATCCGCAGAAGCGAATTGAGTATGGCAGTCCTGCCCACACATCGCACTCTCTCCAGAGCTGAACCTCCCCATTCCAGGCTGTGCAGGGATGGGTGCCTCTGGAACATACCTCAGTCCGGTAGGGTCCACAGAGCACGGTCTCAGGAAGTGAGTAGACACAGTGATAGGTAAGCCTGGAGATGCAGTGTTTTTGCAATGTAATTTAAGAACAGGCAATCCTGGTCCCCAGCTGCTGCGGGTACAGCTGACTCATCCAGAAAATACGATGCTGTCAGAAGAGGGGGAAGATATATAGGAATAGTAATATCCCAAACAGGAAAGAAACTGATTTTGATAACTGATGTAATTTCACGAGAGATCCTCTGAGTTGGAAGCCCATCCTTGTATGCTGATCTGTTTGGTGGCATGGGAAGGTTTTCCTAACACCCACTGCCTTGCCTCCCTGGGGGTCCTTGTGCTTTGCTCCTCAACTCACACTACCAACAAAATGGCCTAGATATTGGCCTCCTGGGGAACAGTCCGAGGCCAGCTGCTCATTCTGTAGAATTATTCTACAGCCATCAGCAACTTTGGCACATTTCCCTTGGACATGGCTTTGAATTTGTGACCTCGAGGCAGACGTATCGGAGCCGATTTCAAATCCCTAATGGACCCAAACCAACATTCAGTAACATTAAGTCTGACCTTTTATTTCTACTTCCTCTTAGGGAGGAGGGATTTAGAAGGATGAGACCTGCCCTCTCCTAAGGCGATGGCTCTCTTGTGCTTCCCTTGGCCTGTAGGTGACCTCCAGAACTCCTACCTGGACCTGAAGCTCAGGTACGGGAGACCCTCCACGTGCAGGGCCTTCCCCTGGGAGAAGGAGCTGAGAGACCGGCACCCCAGCTTGTTCCAGACCTTGCTGGAGATGGGCTTGTGGGCAGGTAACTGTGTCTTTGTCTCACGTTTGGACACTGGTTAGGAAGGCTCCCCCTCTTAGTCACATACACCTCAAAGTGACTTTTCACCCTAGTGCCCTAGGTTAACTTCACATTTAAATTCTGCCCTTGTATGGCCACAACTCTCTGTGTATCTGTGCACATTCCCAACACCAAATGCGAAAACAAATTTAGGAATCACTCCAGCCATTCTTTTAAAGCCAAGGCCACAAATGATTAGTTTGGCATGTACATTATTATCAAAAAAATTTTTTTATTAGTTGCTGGTATCTAAAAACTGGCACAAAAATGCAAATGTTTAGCTTTTCTTGAAAACCCCAAAGATCTGGTAATGCCGGGCCTCCATTCCTACATTAGTAGTGGTTCTGGAATTGAGAGTTGTCACAGGTGTGTTCTGTCTATCCACCGTCCCACCCCGTCCCCCCATCCCAGCACCTCCTGCCTACTTCTTTCCTGGAGCTTACCTGCCTGGGCCCTTAGGCCCTTGAACTTGAGGTCCTGGACTTGAAGTACACACTGCAAACGGCATCTCGGGAATCTGTCTATACTTCCCGAATGTGGCCAGCTTCTGCTTAGGCCCATCACAGTTTGGGTTGGCTTAGTAATGAAGTGCACGCTATAGGGCCACAGGGGATCTTGCAATGACATCTGTTAGGAAGAGGAGGGGAGCTGGAGGTGTTCAGCCCCAGCAAGGGGATACAGAGAGGGGTGATGATAACTCCTAGTGGTGAGAGGCAACCCATGGTATTGCTGGGCATCCAACCAGAACCTTGAGCCAAGGCAGCGCAGAATCGGACTTCTGCTTCACATAAGGACTTCCTAAGAATGTCAGTGTACAACGGAAGAGATTCCCCACTGCAGACGGGGCAAAGGGAATCTATTCTGGCCTGAAAGAATCCGAACCATACCAGATATTTTCTCTTTCATTCATTTGGTACTTGCTGAGTGTCTGCTCCGTTACTTGGCTAGACTTTAGAGATAAGTAAAATAACACAAGGTCCCTGCCCTTAAGGGACAGACTTGAAAACAAAGAAAAATGGTGATGCATTTTTTAAAAAGATTTTATTATTTATTTATTTATTTATTTGAGAGAGGGAGTGTGAGTGGGGGAAGGGAGAAGAAGGGAGAAAGAATCTCAAGCAGACCCCGTGCTGAGCCTGTGGAGCCCGACACGGGGCTCGATCTCATGACCCCGAGATCACGACCTGAGCCGAAACCAAGAGTTGGATGTGCAACTGACTGGGCCACCCAGGAGCCCCTGGTGATGCATTTTTAATAAAAGTGGTGGGAGTAAGCGGTAGAGTCACAAGGAAGGGAGTGGTCAGGGAAGGCTTCCTGGAAGAGGTGACACTGGGACTGATTCCTGAGGGGTCCGTGGGTATCTGGGTATTGGAGGCAGAGTAGAGGCAGAGATATGGGAGCAGCACCACCTTTGAAATGATGTGCAAGGCGTTTGGGAGGCAGGAGAAGTCCCGGAGGGTGTGATTCTGACTACCATTCCGGCAGCATCTTGAGAGTTTGGGCTTCACCTTGTAGGTGACAGGGGCCTGTGGAAGGGTTTTAAGCAGCGGGCGGAGGTGCATTCAGACTTGGGTTTCGAGGTTACTCTGGCAGCAGCAGGAGGTTGGGGGGAGGTGAACAGGGGGGTGTGCGGGGAAAGCAGTGGGTCCTCGGCGGTCCATGGTCCAGGCCAAGGATGCAGGCCTGAATGGGACAGGGTGGTAGGGACAGAGCTATGGGGTGTAAAGAGGTTGGCTCTCAAGGCCGTGGGACCGCTTGCATGCAGGCAAGGAGGCCGAGGAGCAGGAAGCCTGTGGACTCGGGGACAGCATAACCTCTGCAGCCAGGCGGCCTGTCTCCAATTTTAGCTTAGCACTTACCAGCCACGTGGGCTTGGGCAAGTTACTCCATTTCCCCGAGCCCGTTTCCTCATCTGTGCAATGGGAATGGGAATGGTGCCACCCTCCTAGTGTCGGCTTAAATGAATTGATGCTTATAAAAGAGTTGAAACAGAATCGGCGTACAGGAAGCCCGGTACAAGCGGTGTTTCATTTTGGACTGGATAATTCCTTGTTGGGGGGCTGGAGGGGAGGTCTGTCCTGTGCATTAGCTACATTTCTGGCCTCAACCCACTAGAGACTAGTAGCACTCTCTCCCCTCCCATGACCCCCCTCTTGAGTTGTGAGGTCTCCAGAGTCTGCCAGATGTCCCCAAGGGGGCCAAATCTCCCGACATTGAGAACCACTGCTGTGTGTTATAGATGTTATCACCCGGCAGAGACAGCCCCCCGGTTTCCGCTGCTCATGCTGGACATGCATGCTGGGTAGGTTAGACTCAGTGGGCTGAGGCCACATCCACATCAAAATCGGCTTTATGAGATTCCTGATCATATGTAAATATAGTTTTACCGACTGGGAGCAGGAGTGAATCATTTTCACAACACATTCTTTTTTTTAAAGTAAATACTCTCAGTAAGAATGTTTTCATGTTATTTTTTATAGCTCAGAAGTTTTGTTTATAAGAATTTAGAATTGTTTTTTTTCCTCCCCCCTCCGTGGAGACCTGGAAACGGACCCTAATTAAAAACCCAAATCATGAGCTCCTACACCTCACGCTGTCCCGGGCTGTGGGGCTGGGGAGCCGTCACATGTCAGCACATAGCGTGTTCTGCTGACCCCTGTTAGGCCTCCAGGGGCTCCATCTGTGGTGACAATGGGAGCCCCAAAGCCGTATCAGGGCGTCTGCCTCCCTTGGGCACCCAGCCACCTGCATTCCTTCGCTCCCTTCCCTTTCCTGGAGCCGAGGAGCAGGTGGGGAGATAGGGCAGGAAGGGTGGGCGAATCTCCGGAATGAACCTCAAGCCCCCATTCTGCCTTCAGCTCCTATTTTTCTAGGTTACGCCATCCTGTCCATAAGGACCGGGGAGCCTCCTGCAGAGGTCGGGCATTCACTCCCCATTAAAGTTCATCTCTCTGCCTGGTGCACCGCCCTTGCTTGGGGCTATCACAGTGCCCTCCTGCTAACCCTGGAGAGAGACTGGTGTTGTACATTGTGTTCAGTTTCTAACAAGGCTGAGCAAAATGCAGAACATTTGATTTTGTAAATTGAGAGAAAAAGAAAACAAGTCTACGTGTTTTTAATGTATCTTTACTCGGGTCTCCTATAAAAGGAATAGTCATAGACCAGTGTGGCTATAGATCCATTCCTTGTTCCTCCCCGGTTCTTCTTGCCGTAAGTGTCTATCTGGCTTTGGAGCGCTTTGGACAACTCTAGTTAATATGAACTATGTCTACATTCTCTTTTCTGCTGTTGCCCCGAGCTGTCCCATCCTGTTGACTAGTAGACTTTATTAGAACATCCTCATCATCTTACATTTTTCATATCTGAGATAAGCTCTGGGAATGGAGTCAAGGATCAGATGTTCGGTGCTGGGAATTCTGGCTGCAGGAACTCAGCGGGTGCAGGAAGAGAGACAAGGAATTTAACTGTGTGAGAAACGTCTTTAGTTGCTCATGTCACGACCTTCCATCCATTCGTTCACTCAACAGAGGTTGACCAAGTGCCCCCCGTGGGCCAGCATAGAACAAAAATGGGGCCATGTTTTGAATGAGAGTTTTTTACATAAATAGAAAGAGAAACGTCAGCTCCATTGTTCCTACCAAGGGAATTAATTTGTGGAATTATTTTTTTCCCCGGCATTTTGAAAAAAGAAGACCACTTAAGACAGTGGCCTGTGATTTCTGGTTCTTTGCGACAGAGTCATTTTTTTTTTTTTTTTGCGGGCCGCCTGTCCGCACATACATGGCCCACTCCGCTTCCAGGCCACTACACGTGCGTGTTTCAGACCTCAGAGTGTTGTTTCCCTGCACTGTGTGATTTCAGGCGGATCATCTGCTCTCTAGCTAAGCCAACAACACACTTCAAAGGAGTGATGAGAACACTGCAGGGGGTGGACAATCGGGAACATTGGCTTCATGCACAGCCAGTAGGGAGTGAATGACTGTGTTCCCTGTAGCCGGCCTAGCGAGCTCGGGAGTGGTCACCGCCGCTCCATTGTTCCCGAAGGTCTGAGCTGTATTTTCCTACTGCAAAAGAGAAACCCAACTATTTGTACCCTCACTCTTTAAGGACTGTAATTAAAAATTTTTTTTGTGGGGTGCCTGGGTGGCTCAGTTGGTTAAGCGACTGCCTTCGGCTCAGGTCATGATCCTGGAGTCCCAGGATGGAGTCCCGCATTGGGCTCCCTGCTCAGCAGGGAGTCTGCTTCTCCCTCTGACCCTCCCCCTCTCATGTGCTCTCTCTCTCTCATTCTCTCTCAAATAAATAAATAAAATCTTTAAAAAAAATTTTTTTTGTGGTAAAAATACATGTAATATAAAATTCTCCATTGTAACCATCTTTATGTATACTCTTCAGTAGTGTTAAGTGTATCCACCTCATTGCACAGATCTCTAGAACTTTCGCACCTTGTAAAACTGTACCCATTAAACAACAGCTCCCCATTTCCCCTCCCCACAGCTCCTGATAAGCACTATTCTACTTTCTGTCGCCATGCACTTACCTATTCTAGGTACCTCATAGATGTGGAATCATCCAGTATCAGTCTTCTTGTGACTAGCTTATTTCACTTAGCATCAGGTCCTCAAGATTGTTGTGGCAGGTGTCAGAATCTCCTTCCTTTTTAAGACTGAACAGTATTCCATTATGTATATACCACATTTTGTTGATCTGTCGAAGGATACTTGGGTTGCTTCCGCATGTCGGCTATTGTGACTAGAGCTGCTGTGAACGTGGGTATGCAAATACCTCTTCCAGACTCAGCTTTCAATTCCTTTGGATATAGACTCAGAGGTGGGATTACTGGGTCATATGGTAATCCTGGTGTTTCATTTTTTGAAGAACTTCATACTCTTTTTCATAGCGGCTACACCATTTTACATTCCCACCAACAGCGTACAAGGGTTCCCATTTCTCTACATCCTTGC